AATAAAAGCCTGTCTAGGCAAGGGTCAGGGTGCTCCCCTCTTGAGGGAGTGGCCGAGGCACCATAGGCACTCTCCCCTTGAGAGAGTCGTCGTGCCTGTTCCCTTTTTCCACACAGGGTTGTTGTCACCTGTGAATGATTCTCATCGTCAACCACAACAGGCAGACTCTGCTGGACAGGGTCTGCAACAGGAGGGGACTTTGTGACTTCTGTCTCAGTGACCAGCGCTGAGGTCAGCAACCTCCTCATCTGTACCCTGACTGTGGGCACAGCAATTTCTGTGCATGTCTCATTGTAAGATCTTCATTCTCCTATTTTGTTTGCTCTTATTTTGTCCTTGATGGAGAGAAAATCTAACATGTAATCTCTTTTTGTCTTTGCCTCCAGCACCCAACCCAGCCTAAGCCAGTCCACACGACCCAGAGGAGAGGTGTGGGAGGCCCTGGTCTCACCACTAGGAGCCCTTTCAGGAAATCTGATGAGACATCCACAGCGTCTCCCATTCACAGAGCAGAGAGGAACACCTCATCACTGGTCCTAAGTAACAGACAGGGAGTGCCTGTCAGTGACAGCCATTACCCAACAAGCACAGGCTTTGTCCAGGGTCCTGGCTTCAACCCACATAGTCCAGGTCATGACCTCAACCCTCAGGCACAGACCAAGCACCCAGGCAACAACTCACCAAGCATGGGACAGGCTTCTGCTCATAGTTCTGGCCAGGACTCCATAGACAGCTTCAAGGCACCTGGCAAGAGGGCTGCACAGAGCCCTGTGAAGACCTAGCAGAACCCCCCAAATAAGCACAGACTTGGCCCCTGCCTTCCCCCCAAGAAGAGCACCCAGAGGGCAGACCCAGAATGTGTCCAGCCAGGCCTTCCTCCAGCAAGTGCTCCTGTGCTCACACTTACACTGTCACCTCAGGCTCCCAGGAAGACATCTGCCCAGGGACAAAGTGTTGACATGCAGCCTCCACCCAAGGGACCTCTTCTCAGCACTGTCTATATCTGCCTTGTGTCCCAGCACCCTCCGGGCCCCCAGAAGTCCCACCAGCCCCTCAGAATGGTCTTGATAAGGTTAAAGAGAGGCCAGTGGAGCTCCAGGGTCCTGACCACTCCCTCAGGGCTGCCTGCTGAGGAGCCTGCCCCTGCTGCTGAGAGCCCTTCCTCCCCAGGGATGTCAGAGGGACCCTGTGCCTGAATCCCTTGGAGTGTCCGGTATGAGGACCTGCAGGCCTTTTTGTACTTTGAAGGCAGTGATGTCCAGTGAGATGCCGGTATCTGAGATCTCTCCTCCACCCTGCATGACCTGGAGGTGACTGTTGAACCAGGGAGGGGTCACCAGGATCAGGTGTTTCTGGGGAATCACTCCCCTGCTGTGCTGTGTGGACAACTGGTGGAAACCAAGTCATGTTTGGGGACACACACATGTAAATACTACACTTTTTAATCATGTGGGTTGAGATATTTCCGAAAGAATTTATTAACTCCTGTACCTTAGGTGATATTGCTAATGGTATTTTGTATTATGTGATGTTAATTTTGTAAATTTAAATTGATGCATAGGAAATTATATCAGTTTGGAACAGTAGCTTTTGCACTGTACTGTAAATAGTAAGCTAGGTAATGAATTTGTGTGAAGTTGGCACCTGCCTCACTTTGGAGACACTGGGCACAGGCCTGGGGACAGCACTGTAGATTTGAAGCAGTGCCTGTCTGAGTTGAGACTGTCCACTGGGTGAAGTTTTTCAGTGGAAAGCAGGACGGGGCCCCTTCTGCTGACTTTGTACCTTTAGTTTTTGAAATGTCCTTATAAAGTTGTGTTTACAAGTCCATTTCATTTTTAATAAAATTCTACGAAATATATGTGGTGCTTGGTGTTTGTTTTTTGAGCATTTCTGGCCATTTTGATAGCAGTGGTTTTTCATCAAACCTCATTTCACTGAGAAGCAAGGTGAGTTGGGTAGGACAGATTGCCTCCAGACCTGCAGAACCTCTGGCTCCCCCAGCTGGACTGCATTTGTTTGGGAATGTTCAGGATATGCTTGCACCATTTTGATTATGGTTACTATCCCCCATGATTTTGATCATCACCCTTTTTGTCATGGGAAATGGTGTTGTTTGTGGTCACACAGCATCATATCCAGTCTCTCTATTCTGGCACAGTGTCTGTGTCATTACAGACAAAATACAGACAGGGGGTCTTAGACATTGGTGTCTTTTCTGAGGTTGATTTTCTGTTTCCATGTCCCCTTTGCGACAGAGACTTTCTTAGGCTTGTGGAGGAAACTTGAATAGCATGTCCTCTCCTGCTCTCATCAAAGGGAAATAAAGGGAAACCATGCAGCTTCTATTGAAGACACCTGCAGGCCTGTAAGCCCAAGAGTAAAGCTTCTCTGACACACCTGTGACCTAGTGATCCCAGACTACTCAGTTCCTGGGCATGCCCGGACCCAGTCCCGGGGGAGGGTGCCCTCCAAAATCCATGGCAAGGTGTGGGAGCAGGGCCTCAAGGTAGCACCCAGAGACTATCTCTGTAGGTGACTGTAACTGGTTCCTCATGTGTATTTTCCTTTACTATCAAGAAAGACTTTCTTTATCTGGAGCATCCCTGAGAATCTCTTTTTTCAGTCATCCAGCATTCTCAGCAGACTTGGTTTACAGCAGGAACCACTTGTTGGGTTAATCCCTGTAGAAATTACAAATCCTAGCATGGTGCAGATCCAGGGTGTTTCTGGTGGGCTTCCGGTGGGAGGACCCTGTGTGGACATATGGCCAGGAGCATGGGTGCCCAAATTCTGTACTGGGAATTTATTCTACCACAGGGTTGAGAGGGTGGTGTACCAGTCAGGAGGGTGTTCTATCCCAGGGTCAGGAGAAAGTTCATCCCAGGTGCAAAAATGTGTTGGATCCCGGCGAGAAGAGTGTTCAATTCTAGTCAAAAGTGTGTAGATTTCAGGGTTGGAAGGGTGTTGAGACCCTGGCTCTGGAGGGTATTCAGAGAAGCAGGGGCTGATTTCAGAACTAGGGTCAATGAACAGGAGGTTCCCGTGCACAGAAAAAGGAGAACCTGAGTGTGAGGAGTGATTTGGTGGACAGGCCATCAGGAAGAACCTTGTGAAGGGGTCACCTCTGGTTATAGATCTGACAGGTGACATATGGAGGAAAAGCCTGGTTCTGGTGTTTCTCTCTTAAGACAAGGATGTTTAGTCATTTGCCATTCAGGAAGAGGCTGAGCTAAGTTTAAACTTGAGCTTTGTGAATTTCAAGTCATGGGAGTTTGTCATAAGCTAAGCTTCCTGAACATAGTGCACATCCCTTGTTAAATGTGCACCTGGCCCATAAAGGGGGGGTGATTGTGGGTATTAAATGCAAGATGCATGTGTCAGCATATGTGTGCAAATACCACTTAGTGAGTCTCAATTAATACTAGAGGATTTTTTTCCTTGCTTTCCAGGCTCCCAAAGAGGTTTAATCATATCCTTCTTTTCATACATTATTGGTGTTTTTTATGCAGTATATTTCAATATAAACATTGCTTTTGGCAGTACTTTAGGGTGACAGATTCTTTCATGTACTGAAATTATGAAATGCAGATAGTCCTTTCAGAAAAAAATAACTAGAACTCTAGACAGCATTTCAGTGATGATACATATTTCATCAAACTGTAACCTAATATTAGTAATGTAAAGCAGAATGTATCATTAGTACTTCATAGTGATATGAATAAAGCATTACTTTTAATAGTGGTTTTCATATTTTTCATAATTACTAAAAAACTCAGTAGTGCTCATATAAACACAGATTATATAAGTAATACTAATGGAATTAAACTTTATCATGGGAATATTTTATTATAACCTACAGTTAGTGTTTTAATTAGCTACTGTAATAATATTGTCATTATTATGTTATTGAAAGCCACTTCTGTTTTAATGTCAGATGTTTTAGCATAGGTTAGTTCTATCAAGACCTTCTCAGTGGCTTTTCTGTCCACATTTAGGCATGACCACTGCTGAGTGTGATCAGAGCCTCTGTTCTAACACCTGGGGCGCTGCCTTGGTGCCCCAGGGAGACATGCAACTTTGTTTTCACCTCAGTCTTATTTGATTCCTAACATTTTGGTTAAGACGATTTTTAAAATGTGAAAATACCTTGCTCTAGGGGACATAGTGGTGAAAATGTTGTTGCATGGGGTATCTGAGATTTTCCTGCCTATGTTCTCCTCCAGGACTTTGATGGTGTCATGACATGTCTTTTATCCACCTTGAATTCATTTTTGTGTATGGTGGAAGTTGATGATCCAGTTTCATTTTTTGGCATGTTGCTGTCCAGATCTCCCAACAGCATTTGTTGAGGAGGCTATTTTTATTCCATTTTATGCTTCTGCACACTTTGTCAAATATTAATTGACCATGGAGACTTGGATTTATTTCTGGGCTCTCTGTTCTGTTTCATTGGTCTATGTCTGCTCTTATGCCAGTACCAGGCTGTTTGATTCGAGTGGCCTTGTAGTACTGCTTGATATCAGGTATTGTGATCCCTCCTGCTTTGTTCTTCTTTCTCAGAATTGTTGTGGCTATTTAGGGTGGTTTGTGGTTCCATATAAATTGTTGAAATGTTTCTTCTATATCTGTGAAATATGTTTTTAGTACTTTAATAGGGATTGTGTTGAGTCTATAAATTGCTTTTATAGACTCATACTTCTTGGGTAGTATGGACATTTCGATGATGTTAATTCTTTCAATCCATGAACATGGTACATGCTTCTATTTGTTTGTGTCTTCCTTAGTTTCTTTCTTCAGTGTTTTGTAGTTTTCTGAGTGTAGGTCTTTACCTCCTTGGTTAGCTTTATCCCTAGGTACTTTATTTTTCTTGTTGGTATATCAAATGGGATTTTTTTCTTGAGTTCTGTTTTTGATATTTCATTGTTGGTGTCCAAAAATGCCTTTGATTTCCAAATATTGACTTTTTTTCCTGCTATTTTCCCCTAAAGCAAGGGACATAAAGAATAAACAAATGGATATCATCAAATCAAAAGCATCTGCATGGCTAAGTAAAAGAGCATTAAAATTCATAGACAACCAACTCTATAGGGAAACATATTTACCAATAATACCTCGGACAATGGTTTCATCTCCAAAAAATATAAGGTAATCATATGAATCAATTCTAGGAAGACAAACAACCCAATTAAAAATGGGCAAAAGACCTCAACAGACACCTCTCCCAGGAGGACATACAGAGGGCTGAGACATATGAAAAGATGTTCAATATCGCTAGCCATCAGAGAGATTCAAATTAAAACCACAATGACATACCACTTCACACCAGTGAGAATGGCCATCATAAACAAATCAACAAACAAGTCTTGGAGAGAGTGTGGAGAAAAGGGAACCCTAGTACACTGTTTGTGAAAATGCAGACAGGTGCACCCATGTGGAAAACAGTATGGAGTTTCCTCAGTAAACTAAAAATGAAACTACTTTTTGACATGGCAATTTCTCTGCTGGGATTATGTCCTAAGAACCCTGAAACACCAATCCAAAAGAACCTATGCACCCCAATGCTCATAGCAGCACAATTTACAATAGACAAGTGCTGGAAGCAACATAAGTGCCCGTCAGTAAATGAATGGATCAAAAAACTGTGGTACATTGACACAATGGAATACTACTTAGCAGAAAGAAGGAGCTCCTACCATTTATGACAGCATCAGTGGAACTGAAGAGCATTTTGCTAAGTGAAATAAGCCAGGTGGTGAAAAACAAATACCATATGATCTCACCTCTAAGTGGAACCTAATGAACAAAATGAATAATCAAGCAAAACAGAACCAGAGGCATTGAATTTAAGAACAAACTGACAGTAACCAGAGGAACGGTGGGAAAAGGATAGAGGAGAAGGAAAGGGGGAAGAGTTTTCAGGAAGAGTTATAAAGGACACATGTGCAAAACAAAGAAGGGAGGGAGTGGTGTGAGGAAATGCAGAAAACTGTACTTTAACAATAAATAAAAACTAACAGTAAAAAAAAGGTGAAAATCTCTAAGAATATTTTCTCCACTCAATATAGAGGAAAAGAGTACATATATCTATATGCTTTTCAGAGCTCACCCATAAGCATGTAATTCATCTTCAGGAACTAATAAATGGAGTAATAGATTGGAGTTTCAAAGTTAGTGGTGATATTCATTACTAAGAGGTTTCCTGCCCACATGGAAAAGACGGGGAAATGGTGAGGCCCTCCTCCCTTTGGTTCAGGCTGACAGTCAGAAACCTGTGGCTTGGTTATGTGTGCCAGGACAGGAGGCCACTGAGTGATGGTTTAGGAAAACTCATGTGAAGGCTTTTTCTGTGGGTTTGCCACACCAGAACTAGGTTTAGAGACAGTTCTAGATGTCATTCAACTTCTTGCATATTTATTTATTTATTTTTAAGATTTTATTTATTTATCTTCAGAGGGGAAGGGGAGAGGGAAAAAAATATCAATGTATGCTTGCCTCTCGTGTGTCCCCTGCTGGGAACTGGCCTGCAACCCAGGCATGTGCCCTGACTGGGAATCAAACCGCGATACTCTGGTTCACAGGCCCGTGCTCAATCCACTAAGCTACACCATCCAGGGCTTGTTTAAATGTAAGAATCTCCCAGTCTCACACGTGACTTGTGGAGAAAATTTTCCAAAGACTTCAGGACCTACTCTTACTTAGGAGACCCTGCATGGAAATGTGTGGCAATGGAATATGCCAGGGGTAGAAAACCTGGTTCACATGCATCATCTGAGGACACAGGTAGGTGACAAGTACACAGTAATGAAAACACTACATGATGAGAATTTAGACAATCTATTCTAACTAGATGATTATTAAACAATTATTCTTAGCCTGCCATTGTGTCAATTAGCATCCAGGAAAAGGGGGTGTCCCCTCCCCATGATATCTGCTGCAGTGCTCAGGGAGGCAGGAGCTGCTGCTGGGAAGAGGCGGCAGCTGCTTCCCGATCGGGACCCTGAGGTGGCTGCAGCTCTGAAAGGACCCCATCTCCCTGGACCTTGTGCTGCCAGGTCAGGTGAAGGTGCCTGGCATCACCACCAGGGCACAGTTGGAGATGGCTGTTGATTGTGAGCTGTGAGAAGAAGGCTAGTCTCAGAGAGACAGGCGCACACCAGGGGGTGTGGGCTCAAACCCACATTTGCAACTACATAAGGGATCTACAGCTTCACCAGCACAGGTTTTACAGTAGCAGGGTTTGTTGTTTAATATTTACAAGCAATAATCTATGGAAAAAGTTGATTCTAATATCTTACAAAAGTTGGCATCTAATATTTCCAGATCACTCTATCCTGCATTCAGATACCAAACTTCTCCATGAATAATTAGTTTTCTCTCTTAGGAGGTTTGTGTTTTCACTAGACTGAGTTTTTTAGAGTGCAGTGGAGCTGAAGGCCTGTCCACTCTGCTCTTAGAATGGCTCCTTCTCAGCATGAGAACTGTAATGCCAACTGGGAATGAGGGGTCACTGAAGACGTCCCTTCGCCATGACACTGAGTGTTTTGTGCAGCCTGAGTCCTCACAAGTTTCCACCAAATCGCTGCTCAAGGATAGATGACTGGTATTCCTCCAGAGGCCTGAGCCTTGCACACCCTGTCTCAGTGGTGTCTGCATCCAAGTTTTCCTATGTGCACCATGTCTGGGGCTTGGCTGAGTACCTGTTTACAGTGACTACAGACCTAAGGGTCTGCCCAAGTGAGGTTTGCTTGTGTTGTTAAACCAGAAATTACAAATGAAAGCATCCCCACATTGACTAGAGACCGAGGTGTTCTCTCCTGGGTAGGTTCTTTAGTGTCAAGTTTAGGGCTGTTGCTGAAGACTTCTGCATTTCTCATATTTCCAGTGTGAGCTCTCATATGGCCACTGTGGTCACACCAATGGCTGAAGGTTGTGCCACAGAGATGCCAGGCAACTGGATCCTCCCCATGTGTATCTGCAGATGTTGGGTGAGTAGGGCCACCTGCAGGATCTTCCACATGGACTACAGACAGTGTTTCTGTAACTCATGAGCCCTCAAGAGTGTTTAAACATTAAAGCTATGACTGAGGTTCTTCCACATTGATAGCCCTGGTAAACCCATGTCATCTCAGGTCCGAATATTTGCTGAAGGCATTCATGATCTCCCCACTGTGGGTTCCTTCATGCCGCCTTAGGGCTGAGCACTGACTGAAGGCTTTCCCACAAAGATGGCATCCATATGGCTTCTCACCGGTGTGGGTTCTCTCATGCCTTCGAAGGGCAGAGCACTTACTGAAGGCTTTCCCACACTGACCGCATGCATATGGCTGCTCCCCAGTGTGCGTCCTCTCGTGCTGTCTCAGGTTCGAGGACTGACTGAAGGCTTTCCCACAGAGATGACATTCATACGGCTTCTCTCCAGTGTGTGTGAGACTGTGTTTCCGAAGGTCAGAGCTTTGGATGAAGGCATTCCCACAGAGGTGGCACTCGTACGGCTTCTCTCCAGTGTGGGTCATCTCATGCCGTCTGAGGCTAGAGCAGTTGCTGAAGGCTTTCCCACAGAGATGACACTCATATGATTTACCCCTGGTGTGTATTTGCTTGTGTGGATTAAGGCAGGACTGCTCTCTGAGGGAGTTTTGACATGGTTTGCTGATATAGGGTTTCTTTTCCATGTCAGTGAACAAGTGTTGAGTCAATGTGGAGCTGTGAGTGAAATGTCCCAAATCCTTATATTCACTGGGATCCTCAGGAGTGTGAGATTTCTGTTTTGGGGAAGGAGATGAAAGAATGTTAATGGTTTTCCCACAGAGGTTCTTACATGCACTTCTACTATATATTTGAGTACTAAACTAATCTTTCTGTGACAGTATGCAATCAAAGTGTTTCCAAGGTTACTTGCATACACATGCTGCGTTACTCTCCTCCACTTACAAAGACTTCCTGTTCTGCAGCATCCCAGCTGCAGAGCTTATTGAGGGTGAAACATTCAGTATGTTTCAAAGCCTAAGCATTCAAGCAATACTCATGCGCTTGTCTTTTTAACTAAGCTCTCAGGTGATAGTTTTGTGCTTAGGTTTAGGTTTTCACTAAATTCAAACTATCTAAAATGTTTTGCTCCAAAGAAGCTCAATCCAAAATTAACAGGAATCTGGCTGCTATGCTCATTACAGACATCGTATTGCTGGCTTTTCTTCTGGGTGACTGGGTTGTGCTTGTAACACTCACCAGGGGAATGACTGTCCATGTGTCCTTTTCGCTGCTATGTTGTGTGGCTATAGTCTCTTGTTTTTTAATGGCACTTTCCCTGCCTAAATAATTAAAAAAATTAGAATGGCATTAGGGAAATGAAAATATTGAAAAGCACCAAGTCCATGTCAGTATCTGTCAAAAACTGGCATTTTGATGGGGAACAGAAAGCAGAAATGAACACATTCTAGGGTACTGACAGTGAAGATTTGGGGGATTCAAATAGGAAACAAGTAAAATGGAGATAAGATGCTGGGTAGGTAAAGAGAGGGAACCCCTCAGAGAGAGGGTCAAGAGAAGAGTTATTAGCCCTGGCTGGTGTAGCTCAGTGGATTGGGCATGGACCTGTGAAGCAAAGGGTTGCTGGTTGGATTCCCAGTCAGGGCACACAGTTGGGTTGTGGACCGGGTCCCCCCAGTAGGGGTCACTTGAGAGGCAACCACACATTAATGTTTCTCTCCCACTCTTTCTCCTTCCCTTCCCTTCCCTTTAAAAATAAAAACAAATTTAAAAAAAGACAAGAGTTATTATATGAAAGTTTAACTTCAAGCATGTGAAAATCCTTAACCCTAAAGCCAATGGCAGGAGGACACGTGAGTTCTGATTGATATGTGCATGAAATAATACAATGCCTGAAGAATGTTGCTTTGTTGTCCTTCATCTACATTTGGAAAATATCACTCACTTCCCAAGACCTTCCCCTCATATTCCAGGATGCAATCAGTCACTGAACGGGCACCTGCTCCTCTAGTGCACCGACCCCTGCTGTTCACCTGCACCCTAGCCTGGGAGAAATCTAGGCCCTTCCCGCCACAGCACTTCACCTTGCTCCAGCTGGAAAGTCACCTCTGATTGGCACTGCTGATACCCTGCTCATGGAAAAAGGGTACATGGATTTTGAGATCTGTGCCAATAAAAGTGCACTATCATCAAGGCCAGGGCAGGTGACGTCAGAAGAATAAGAACCTTGGAGGTCACAGCAGGCAATGCCACCTTGAACAGAGAAAACAGTGATGGCCCCCCAGAGCCTGGGAGGAAATCCAGGTCATGGCTGTGGGTCTCCACGCCCACATTGATGGACGAACTGCAAAAGCCTTGTCTCTTCCACAAGGGAGGAAGTGAATGTCTCCATGGGGGGCAGAATGCTATTTTCAAACTGGTGCGGATACACAGAAGCCCCACAAGAATCGTCAAGTCCTGTTTCTTTTACTACTCTGGTCTCAAGCCTCAGCAGAGTGACTAGACAGAATAATTATTTAGAAAACATGTGTTCACAAATGCTCATTGCTTTTCCAGCTCTCTTCTGAGTGTTAGAGACAGAGGAGTAAGACAGACATCACACTGCCATCAAGACTGCATTCTGGTGGGTGGACGAACTAGACATGAGTAAATGAAAAGAGACGAGCTACGAGGTCTATGGGAGAACCAGGGCAGAGAGTAGAGTGGGCTGTGGAAGCTGCTTTAGACCCCTGTGATTGAAAGCATGGTGAGTGACTGACCTTCCCACCTACTCAGACACACACATGCAAGACTCACCCAGGGAGACCAGGTGACTGATGTTCTCCAGCATCACATCTCTAAAGAGCCTCCTCTGGGATGTGTCCAGCAGGGCCCACTCCTCCTGGGTGAAGTCTACAGCCACATCTTCAAATGTCACTGATTCCTAGAACACCATGGACATTCCAACTTACACAGAACAGTCCCCACCAACATCCAAAGCAGGAGGGTGAGGTGATAACACTGAGGAAGGGGCCAAGGAGCTGGGTACACAGAAAGATCCGCTGAGTGTGGCTTCCAGCACTTCATTCTTGGTGCTGGGCTGGCACCTGCCTTTCAGGTACATCATGGAGGTACACACGGTCTGAATCAATGAACTTTTATTAAAAGGGAACAAAATACCAAGTATGGTGTAACATAACCTGCAAATTTCCCCAAACTGATCTTAATAACTTCCAGACACGTGATTATAATAATTGCCCTGTAAAATTCATAACTCAAACTCTCTTCCAGATTAATGTCAAGTAACTTTACTAACATATAACTGCCAATTTTAAACCGTAACTCTGGCTCCATCATTCCTCTAGAAGAATCCCACAATCTTCACTCCTGAAAGGGTTTAATCACTTGTTAGGAGTGTTGAAAGATCCAATGGACTAATATGGGAAGTTCATCTCCCTAACTACACATGTATAAAATACAAGCCATTAGTCCGTCATCCACCAAAGTGTCCGAGACCCCTGACATGGTCTCCAGCACTCTTCAGGGTGAGAAGGTTCATTCAGAAATTGGCACCCTCTCAACTCTACAGGATTCAGGTGGGCATAACAAACAAGAGGTGGGATGGTTCAGCAGCACAGGCCAGGGCCCTCTGAGAGACTGTTCTGTGGGATGAGATCCCCATGCTCGACTTTTTGGGGACCTCAAACAGCAGTTATCACTGCCTCCTCTGTGGTTTCATCTTGTCTCCGTGCTCAAGGATACAGGAAGTCTCTTGATTGGTCTTGGTCTGTCTGGGTCTTCAAAAATTTCCACAGGGTCTTAAATTTTACTCTGCTCCACTCTCTGTCCTGCGTGTGCAGCCACAATGGAAGAAATAATACTCCTTGTATATGAATTCCAGATCCCGAATATGAAAAATGGTTAATTACAAAAGGCAAATGTGTGACTGGGGACAAGAATGATAATGAAGATTTTAGTTATCTTTCCAAGAAGTTTCCAAATTTTCATATATATTCTACCAGAACCTTACATTTAAAATTGGAAAAAAAGTAAGCAAATGATTCCTCATGCTTTCTCTGGCCTTCCACCTGGCACAGCCCTCACCAAGGACCGGCAACACCGAGTGCCCGGCCTCACCTGAGGGAACCTCAGCTTCCCTACTGGATGGCAATGCTCTGCTCCTTGCCCCCCTTCGCTCACCACAGCGTGACCAATGAGCACATCATTTCCCAAGGAGGCCGTGGGCTGAATTAGAAAATGAAACTTTTCTCAGCTTTTCTGTAAATACACAACTGGCTGGAGTAAAATAGTTCCATGCTAGGAAGACCACCTGTAGCCAGGGCACTCCCAACCCACCACAACCTCCTCCCAGTGCTGGTGAAAGCTCACGGGGGCTCAGGTCTTCGAGTGCCTCCTGGTGCTGAGGCCCCCGGTGCCAGCAGGTGAAAGCTGTCCTCTGCTGCCAGCCGTGCTGTGATGGAGGCAGGAGGCAGCATCCCCTACTCACCAGGGGCTGCATGGTCAGCAGGCCAGCTGCCAGGTATCCTTCTCTGGGTTCTCACTCACAGGCAGTCCAAGCACTAAGCAGGCAAGGCTGGGGACAGAGAGAGAAGCCATGAGACCCCAGAGTTGCGTCGATTTGCAGTCCCACCCATCACAAAGCCCCAGTGTTTACCTGGCTGGGACCGCCCTCCCCCCCTGACCTCACCAACAAACATGCAGTGTGCTCTATGACGAATGCACAAAGGACTCTGTTCCTCCCCCAGGGCCAAGAAAAAGAAGAATATGACAAAAGCTGATAATAAAACACACAGAAATACAGAAACCTATGGGGGATTGTTAGGGGATCAAGGGACTGAGCAAAAAAGAAACAAGAGAAAGAAGTCATGAGCATGAACAACAGTGTGATAAGTGCAGGGGTGAGGGAGGTGGGTGGAGGTAGAAGAGTGTATGGGGGGATAAATGATGATGAAAAAAATTGAATTAAATTAAATTATAAAGAATACGGGTAGTATGAGTTTGGTATGTTAATTAGGCCACAGCATGCAGCCTCATTCAATTCCCTCCCTGATTTCCAAGCACAGTGATCCCGGACTCACTCCATATGTAGGTTTTGGTTCCCACCTGCAGGTAAACACTGTGGAATTTCCCAGGTGTTATTATTCTTGCCTTTTGTACCAGCAGAGGTTCTCCAACCACCTTGGAGCCCTCTGGACCCTCACCTGTTTCTGCTCTACAGTTCCCCATGGGCCTGGACACCAAGCAATTAAGAACCTACTTTATGATGGAGTTCATCCACTCAATGTCTTATTCCATTTGGCGGATCAAAGGCACCCTTTCCCCAGTTAGGTCTTTCCACTCACAGCATCAGAAAGGAGCAGGAGAACATACATGAGTTACAGAGTTGCTGTCATGTACTGCCTCAGTCTTCTAGGTCAAGGGTGTCCAGACAATACAGCATGGCTGAGACTCTGATTGACACTTCTCACATTTTCACAAGGTACTAGGTGAAATCCTAGGAGTCCTATTCTATATTAACCTTCAATATCTGCAGATCCCTGCATTTCATTGTATACACAAATGTATTTTTGTGCATATGTATGTAGCACACACAAATATGTGTGAGACACACACAGAGAAAGCATTTATAAACTGTAAATTGTCCCCTAAAATACCACTAACAATCAGATGCATTTCATGGAAAAATGATGATAATATGTGACAAAGAAAAGGAGGATTAACTCACCCATTTGAACCTGAGGTTCAGAAAAACAAAAACAAAGATAAATTTCTATCCAATGTGACTCGATGCTTAGACATTGACATATATTTGCTTATTTAATCCTCACAGCAAACCTGCTGATTATAGTTTATTTACCAATTTAACAAATGCCATAAATAGAAACAGTTAAAAAAACTTCAGTACTAAGACAAAGTTTCAGAGCTAGAAAATGACACAGCCATCACTTTAAATTTGCTCTGCCTGGCTCCTGAGATCAAATTCTTCAAGCATCACCTACCACATGGATGGATCTGGAAGCATTATGCTGAGTGAAATAAGCAGTCAGGGAAAGACAAATACACTGTGGTTTCACTTATATGTGGAATCTAATGGACAAAAAAAGCAATCAAAATGGAGTCATAAAGAGGACAGAATGACAGTTGTTGGGGGTGAGAGGAGTTGGGGGACTGGGTGAATAAGGTGAAGGGGTTAAGAAAAAAACCAGCCCTGGCTGGTGTGGCTCAGCAGATTGAGTGCCAGCTTGAGAATCAAAGGGTTGCCGGTTTGATTCCCAGTCAGGGCATGTGCCTGGGTTGCAGACCAGGTCCCCAGTAGGGAGCATGTGAGAGGCAACCACACATTGCTGTTTCTCTCCCTCTCTGCCTAAAACTAAATAAATAAACAATCCTTTAAAATATGAGAAAAAAGAAAGAAAAAAACAACTCACACACACAGACCACAGTATGACGATGACAGAGGGAAAGGGATGGGGAGAGGTAAAAAGGGTGAAGAGGGGATAAATGGTGATGGAAGGAGACTCGACTTGGGGTGGTGAACACACAGTACATGTATGATGATGTATTGGAGAATTGGGACCAATGTCACCTCAATACATTTAAAAAAATTACATAGGACACCTAGGTTTTCCTGAATATCAACTTTGATGTTAATAATCAGAAGTCCCACCCTGTCACCTATGACTTGCAAAGACCACCAGTGATTATTTCATAAATACATATTGTTGGTGTGGCCAATTATCTCCCCAAAACTGAGTTCTCACTTGGGAACAAAGGGGAATCAATCCTTGACTCCTTTTTGGAACTAACTCTTCCTTAGCCTCATTGGATGCCTTGGTCTCTTCACTGTCTTCAGCTCCTCTCTCACCAGCCCTCCTCCCAGGTCCCTGCAGAGAAGTCCTTGGGACTACTGGAATGTCTCCACACTGCCTGTTTTGTTTTTTTACAGTGTCCTGGCAGGCTCAGGCATGGATTCAACTGCTCCAATTTCTTCTATTGCTCTCTAAGTGGAAATTTCTTGTCTGGATTTCATTACTGAACATCATCTCTGCTTGCAAACTGACACCTAAAATAAAGTATTTCTCAGAACAACACCCCTGCCCCTCCAAATAGAAGGACAACCCCTCTTCCCTTCCAATAGGAACAGCACTCCTCCACTGGTCTCTAACCAGAGTTAATGGCTCCATCACACATCAGAGTACTTTACACGACTTCACTGAACCAACGAACACATCGCTATTGTCTCTACACTGGCACTGTTATCCGGCTTCATTTCCACCCTAATCCAGACACACAAACTCCCCACCCAACATACAAGAGTTCACAGCAGGGTTCACTGTTGGTGTCAATTCTATGGGTTTTGAAAAGTGTATAATGACACATATGTCGTGGTATGGTACACTGAGTATTTTCACTGCTCTAGAACCCTTGGCAATCACTGACCTTTTTATTTTATTCATAGTTTTGACTTTTCCAGAGGTTGAAATCACACAGTGTACAGCCATTTCAGATTGGCTCTTTTACTTAGTAACAGGCATTTAAAGTTCCTTTGTGTATCTTCGTGGCTTAATGGCTTATTTCTTTTTACTGCTGACTAATCTATTTTGTTGATGTCCCTTTACCAGCTAAAGGATATCATGGTTGCTTCCAAATGTTGGCAATTATGAACAAAGCTGCTATACAACATTCATGTGCAGGTTTCTGTATGGACATGTGTTTTCCAAGTTATCTGGATAAGCGCCAAGAGGCATGGTTGCTGGATAAAACAGTGTTTAATTTTGTGAAATCCTTCTGAACTGTCTTCCAAAGTGGCTGTGCCAATGTGCCGTCCTACCAACAGTGAGTGGGCTGCTCCTCACCAGGGTGTGGTGGTCCTAGTATTTCAGATGTTCTACCAGGCGTGAAGGTGCATCTCACTTTTGTTTTAATTTGCATTTCACTGATGACACATGATGTTGCGCATCTTTTCATGTGCTTATTTCCCATGTGTATATCTTTGGTGAGGTGTCTGTTCAGATTGTCCATTTTGGGGGTTGTTCATTTGCATATTGCTGAATTCTAAGAGTATTTTATATATCATGAGTAACAGTCCTCTATAAAAAAAATGCTCTGCAAATATTTTCTTCCAGCTTATGGCTTGTCTTCTCATTTTTTGAGTGATTTTCACAGAGCAGAAATTTTTAGTTTTATTCAACTTCAGCTTATCAATTTGTTCTTTCATGGGTCATACCTATGGTATTGATCTAATCTAAAAAGCCATGTCAAACCCAGAGTCACCTAGATTTTCACCCTGTGTTCCCGTATACTAGTTTTATAGTTTTGTGTTTTATATTTAAGCTTAATTTTTGAAAAGAGTATAAGATCTGGGTCCAGAGTCTCTTTTTTTTTGTATGTGGATTTTCAATTTTTATCTTCCCTTACTGAAGAGTTTCTTTTCTTCATTGCATTATCTTTGTTCCTGTGTCAGATATCAAATATACCCACAGAAAGAATATACTTGCGTGGGTATATTTCTGGGCTCCCTGTTGTGTTTCAGTGATCTATTCATCTATTATTTCACCAACAGATTATGTCCCTAATTATCCATCCTTCTAAAAGTCTCAAAAATAACCTTCGTCTCTTCTCAGGAGCCCCACTAGTTTTTGGATTCTGGTTTATGGGCAGTACTGGAGAAGCTAGAGCAAAACATCTCTCCTGTTCTTCAGTTTTAAGAGGGTCTGGGATTTACTGACATCTTTCAGACTGTGAATATCAGGGTGACTTCATATAAGTAGAAACACTTGTGTTTAAAATATATATTCAAGGTACATATTTTTTGGGTATTAGAGTATGCATATTTTACCAGTAAGAAATAGAAAAAGTATTTACTGTAGGTTTACTTTTGGTCAGAGTTAGCTAACGATTAAGGACTTTAACACCCTATGAATTTCAAAATATTAGGCCTTCTCAGGACAAGTGACTTAGCCTCACTATTGATTTTCCTATAAATAGCATGTACTTTAACTGTTTTTGAAAATATTAAACACTTGGAAGACTAAAGACACAATCTTAAGATATATGGAGATACAGAGATATAAAAACAAATTCTTTTTGAAGAAAAACCATGCAATATGCATTTAAGTATAAGCATTTGATTTTTAAAAAATTATCACCATCATCACCACCATAGAATACTAGTGTCCTAAGGCCAAAAGAATGTTGAACTGGCTTCTCCTGGACCTGGATGGCTCAGAGGTCAAGGACTCAGCCCACCAGGGATCCCTGCCTAGCTACCCCATGTGCTGGTGATATACAGTGGAGAGATGGTCCACACTCCTTCAGAGCATTGCTGAGAGGAGGTAAAAATGGGTCAATAAGCATAAAGTGATCAAGTTTGGAACACTATGGGTCCCTGCTGTAATAACTTACATCATCTTGTCTACCTCCTCAATGAAAGTCGGAAAGATTTCAGAACTGTCAATGCCTCAGACCTGGCAGCCTCTCCCCCTCTATACCCAGAACCCTGTTTCCATGCGTCCTTTAGAAGAGATGCCTTATTATAACAGGGGCCTCTCCTGGCAACAGCCAACTATTCTGATAATCAAGGAACTAAAATGAACCGGTTTCAATCTGAATCAGGAAGTGGACTGATTGACGTTCAGGGCCCTGGCCATTGTCATACCTCCACTGAACCATTGTATACACCCTTTCAAAAAGCCCAGGATGGCTTCTGTGTGAGAGCTGCCATCCCACGTGCCCCAGGGAGTCCCGGAAGGTCTCCCCAAATAAGAGTCTACACATACCCTGTAAGGTGTCAGGTACATATCTCCATGGTTCAGAATGTTCAATGAGCCTCTTCCAAAGCTTACAAACTCTGCAGAGGAAGAAAACTGACATTCATCTCCAAAACCAAGGGGAGCCCAAGGTTCTATCTCTAAATCCTGCTGTCCTCCAGGGCCACAGCCCAGAAAGTGATTCGATATCCCGCTCCAACTGTGCCCCACGCACTATGCCAGAGTTTTCCCTCTTAGGGTGCTTTGACCGGGCCCCATGCTCCACACCCCTCAAATGCCTGCCTCTGCCCTGAGCTCTGAAGTACCTGTTCCCAGAATAGTGAGGACAACCCTCTCTCCAGACACTGGTCCACACCTGGAAATTGGAATCTTCTCTGTACTGCCCAGTGGGGAGAGTGCCTTTGGCATCACAGGAGCATGCAGGCAGTGTCGAGGCGGTCACCAAGAGTTGCTCTCTGCCCATTGCTTGCATGTACATAAGGAAGAATTTGAACCCTTTGCCTTCTCAGGTGCTGGAGAGTGGCTGCAGTGTCTGGGGGTGAGAGCTGGACTCTGGGTGCTGCTCCCTTTATTTCCTGTTGTGGGTCACTTGGAAGAGAGGACAGAGCTCAGTCAGGCCTGAAAGAGAAGCCACGGATGAAGGCAAGGACCTGGTAACTGGGAAAAGGCAGCCAGTCTCCGGGACAGTTCACAATGCCCAGAAGACAATCCCTAAGTACAGCTATGGATTTGAGTTGCCCAGAGAATACAAAGAATTTGAGGGCAGGGAAGGAGGATCTAGGAAGACTAACAAGGCACTGGCCATGAGATTAGGCTGGGTTTTGATTTCAAGGCAAATTTAGATTGAAATGTCAAATATATATATTTTTACCTCTAGACTTTTTCTTCTAACAAAATACAGGGATACTCAGAGAAGCCCTATGCACATGAAACAGGAGAGCACCGGGTGCAGGAAGAACACACCCAGGCATGACTGTGCTTCATACGTGCTTCCCAGTGATGGGGTGAGATCCGTCACGTAAAGCTGGTGTGACTTTGATTAGATTAGTGTGACTCAGGAGCTGGTCTACACCTAGATGATGGGAAACCCCAGCCAGGCTCCACAGACTCTCCAAATGTCCTGTGTCGAACAGGGAGTGCGTGGAGTCAGAAAGACTTCCTGCTACAGCACCGCCCCAACACAGATTTCTTTCCAAACTATCAGCACAAATTCCTGTGATTTAAGGAGAACTTAACTCAATAAAATTTACTTGGAAAAAATACAGTAACTATCGAAAAGGACAAAGTGTAAAAGAGGCAGAGGTGAAAAGTAACTGCATATTAATATCCAAGGAGTCCTTTGTCTTGAAGCAGAACATCATTTAAAAATCATCCAATAATTTCAGTAATGGATAGCTTACAAATTATTAAAAACCTTGATTGATAGAACTTCAGAGCAGAGTTACAAGAATGAAAGTCAAAGATTTACAAGAAAAGGAAAAGTGATTTGGTGAACTTCAAAACTTCCAGAAGTAAAATAAAAACCATTTAAGAAAAGAGATCACATTGGCAAATAAAAGAAAGGAAAACAGACAATGATTGAAAAACAATCTCTCACGGGGATCACAGGATTTAAAGTAGCAACACAGAAAAGGAGTAAGTAAAAACAACGAAAAGGATTGTAAGAAACTGAAAGCTGTGAAAGATAAATTCACAATTATAAAATCCACATTACTGGTAAAATAAAAATAAAGGAAATGATATAAAAACATAATTTTATGATTTAATTCAATAAAAAGACCAGATCATAGACAACCACCAAAGACATGATATGCCAACTGAAACTTAAGGGGACAATCTTTCTTTTAACTAAACCCGGACTAAAATTTTTTAAATGCACAGAATGAAAAGCAATATTTGAACATATTATGTAAAAGTTCCAACGGAACAAAACTAAAATGTCATTCACTTTGTTTTAAGCATTTATATTATGTTTAATATTAAGGATTTATAATATATTTATGTTAAGGATCGTAATAAATGATATAAGCACGTGCCTCCCACCAACAGCCCCAGACTGAGAAGCAAGAAGCCAGAGTGTGTACCTGAAGGTGGTGGAGAGGAACAGGAGGCAGGAAGTGCAGCACGCCAGTCAGGGCTGTGAAAGGCTGTGGCCTTAACCTTTGGAACAGGTGGGTTTGTGGAGGGCTGGTGGGCAGCACATGGCCCTTCTGTCTGGCCACCTTCCTGGAGGCCAGATTCCCTGGAAGACACATACACAGAAACATCCAAATGAACCAACTAGGAGTCGTCTCTGAATGATAGACTGTTTTCCAGATAGGTTTCTATATCCTATCATTTTTTACTTATTTGTACTTCAGCATTTCGGAACAATGAACACATCTAAGTAAAAACGCACTGAGTATCTTCACAGAGTAAAGATGGTAGTTGACATGAGTGTGGATTACACAGGAAAGTCAAATGATTACTTACTCTAGAACATCCTGTTTGCCATAAGCAATAGGTACAGTCAACAACTGATAAGCCACTTTGAAAACCATATAGCAGTTAAACAAAATCCAGCCAAGAGGAGACTTTGTACATTAAGTCTGATGTCTCATAGGTCATCCAGCCTTTTGACAGAACACAGCAGTTCAGAGAGAGCTTCTGCTGGCCCCACACATACTTGTTTCCCTTATGTGCTGCTGTTGCTACCAGGGTGTTCGCAGGTCTGATAAGCTTCTATGGCTCATTACATACATGAATGTAAACATGCTCTTTGCCATGACTGTTGGCTCTTTCATCGTATCTCAGACGAGACATTGAGCATTTCACAGATACCCTCGCTGGAAAAGCAGCTCTACAAAAATCACTCTTTTCATTTCAACCCTGCAAGGACTTCAAGAAGGCCAAGTCTGTAAGGAACAACTTCTCTCCTGCTCTTCAGCTTCCCTGTCTCCCTCTCACCCCCTAGGTCTCCACTCTTAGGCCCTCTCCAATCTCCCTTCACAGAGTCAGCGCCCCCTCACTGGGAGACACTTGGTGACACATGTGCCCCTAGCAAGGGACCTGTGACTGTGGGGCAGGCAAGGCCAGCAGGACAGGCTGGGGAGGGGGGCAGCGCTGTCCTCACCGGAGGGACAGGCCTGAATGGGAGAGCACCAGGGTCTACCCTTTTCTCCCCACCCTGAAAAATTACAGGCCACACGTCCCACTACTGAGCAGGAGCCACTTCTCTCTCACGGCCTCAGCACATGATCTCAAGTACTTGACTCTCCTTTCCCAGAGCATCACAGAAACTGTCAAAATTGTGAGTGTGAGCAGACACCAACAGTGGCACCGGCAAACACCGGCATGGCTCCAAGGCACAGCCCAGCACATCCTCCGTCATTTCCAGGCACAGGGCAAAGAGAACAGATGCCTCGTCGGAAACTTCAGTTCACAGCCCAGTAAGTTAAAAGATCACACAAGGGGAGAAATATGTTGAATGTTGAACTAATTGGTTAAACTCGGTTTTACTGTTAACATGAAAAATCACCAATATCCTTACCAAGAACACACTGAAATAGTGTAAAATTATTTACTAAGCACCAAAGTGTGTCTTCAGTATACATAGTAATGGATGGAAAGCGAATGAGACCTCATAATCTGACTGGATACAAAATAGATAAAAGGGAATATAAATTGGAAATTAAGAACCAAATTCTTCTGCATCTGGGATCTACCCGTCTTTGCCCCTCAATGCGGCTGTCAGTCAAAACCTCTCCTGGTCTGTCCGCTTCCACCTTCCTGCTGATCTGCTTTCTGTTTTCATTTACCACGCTGCCTTCTGCCCAGGCCACTGTCTTTCACTATTACTGTGTCCTTTGCAGTTCTTTTCTTACCGTCCCTGACCCACTGTCTCTCCGGATCTCCCCCGTCGCCCACCTCACCTCCGCATTCCCGGGAATGGGGTGAAGATGCCCCCGCCCAGGGACTGGCTAGTGGCGCTCCCTGCGTGTGAACTCAGCCCGTAAGGCTCAGCCAGGGGGAGGGGCTTGGGCACAGGGGAACCCGGAGTGTCCCAGGACAGGGCTCCAGGACGGCGGCCAGAGTGGCATGGGACTCAGGGGACACTGCGGGGCGCCCCGGCCTGGCGCGGGGTACGGAGAGGAGCCTGCGAAAAGCAGCCGGCAGAAAGATTGGGGCAGGGTCCAGCCGCCGGGCGATTTTACCCGAAACTGACGCGGACCTGGACCGGCAGCGCGGCGGCCGCGGACTAGGCGGGGCTCCCCGCGCTTTGGGGCTGGCGGACGTGAGTTCCGCAACGTCCCCGGGGCCCTGGCCCACGGTGCGGTCGCGGGGCCGAGGAATCGACGTACGAGTTTGAGCTAGAAATACTTAAACTCACTCTAGGCAACGGGACCCGCAGTCTAAGACATCTGCTTCCGGGTTCGCAGGAAACTGGGAGCCCGAAGGGGAGGGGCCTGCCCTGTGGCGAAGCACTGGTCGCGCCGGGAGGAGGGGCTCGTGGTGGGCGGGCCCTCCGTTCCTCCGCCCCGCTTCCCAAGCGTTTCCGGTCGTGCAATTCCGGCCGCAGAATCCGAGTCTCCCGGTTTCCTTCCGGAGTGTGGTGGGGCTCTTGTGGTCGCGCCGTCGTCACCCTGCTTCATGTGCAGTGATTCGCTTGTTTTAAAGTAAAAACTCTGGGTTGTGGAGCCACATGTACCGAATGCGGAGGTGTTTCCCTGCCAACAACCGGGAAACGGTTTAAGTTGAAGCCCTTTTTGTGAGCATGCCCCATTGGAGTGGGTGGCTGCGTTTGGATCCGGACCATCAACTGTGACACCCATTCACACTTTTCTCTTTTTCGTTTTTCGTTGGGAACTAGCATGTGAGCACCAAACTCGCCTGTGTGAAATGTGGTATTTCACACTGACAACCACTGGAGTTGGTTTCCGTTTTATTCCTCCAGTTGCAGGGACCGAAGCTCCCCAAATGGCCGTGGGGATGGCGGGCTTATTGTACTTCTGTGTACCGATTGTGTATGGATGTATTCCTTTCCCCTTATTTACATTTAGTTTGTTATATTTCACATTTCTGGGGACTTATAAATTCAAATACCCCTTCAAGACAAATGTAGATGACATCCTACAGCTTGCACAAGTCGTTGTTTTCTACGTATATTGTAATTTCACAGTTTTCCTTATCTTTACTCCCAGTTATCTGCTTCGCAGGCCCGCGCTCCATCCACTGAGCCACACCAGCCAGGGCTGTACTCCCAGTTATCTGAAAGAGTATTTTTAATTTGAACCATGAGATATATTAATCTGTGTTTTGTTTTTCTGAATGTTTCATGTCCCAAATGGATAACGAAGCTGTAAGAAGTGTGATTCTTTGGAGACAGGTAGATTTTTTGACTTAAAAAATTGACTTTTAATAAGTCAAATTTTTTATTTCTAGATATATGTAAGTGGAATATCTAGTTTCTCACATGAACATTTAAAAGCAATGTAAAACTGGATTTTCAAGTTTCAGTTGCCTCATTATACCCTTAATAAATTTTTATGTGAAATATGTGCATTAAAATTTTCTTTGTATATTCTGAAGTTCAAGCTAGAGGAAATTCAGCAAGACTAAATCTCAGTGATTCATGCAGAAATTTTTTTAAGAATTATCACTAAAGAAGAATCCTGGTTTTCTTGTGTTTAATATGAATACAAGTTTCTCCAGGTTTTAAGTTAGTTTTTAAAAATACTTGGACTTAAATGGATTTAAATTCTGGATGATAACGTTCTCTTAAGCAGGTTAACCATAGAAAAACAATGCAAATAATCCAGTATGTGAATATGCCCACTTACTTTGTTCGTCATCATGCCCCTATCCTTTTTACTGCAGACATTTTCCCTCCCTTCTCTCTGTACAGTTTGGAGCCTCTTCGAGCCTCTGTCACTGCAATAAACTTCTTCCAAATAAGTTGCTCTGTCAGTTGAGCTAGTCACCCAAGCCAATTCCTGAATATTCTTTGTAAAACTAGAATCCAGTTTTGCATGGATTAAGGAATGTGTTCCACCCCTCTGTGATGCCAACGTGCACATGCAAGTACACAATGTCATTATCACTCATGAGAGCCAAACATGACATTTATTCTCAGTCCAAGAACTTAGAATACTCTAATATTAGGGCTAGAAAGGAGCCTAGAGATTATCTAAATTGACATTGTCCAATGAGTATTTCAGAATGAAGTTCAGAATAGCTACCTGGGAAATGTGTTAGAAATGCAGACATCCAGGTTCTCCCTACACTCATGCAAATTCAATTCTCTGCAGTGGGTCTCGGTGTCTGCATGTTAAAGCCACTCTCCCAGTTGGTTTGGTGCACAATAATGATCGAGAGTCTCCCAGCCTGCATTCAGCTGGGCTATGTGCTACCGATATTAGAGGAAGACAGCTGTCTTGCCCATGTTCACAGCTCTAGTTAGGGGCACAGGCTTATCTAGAGCCTCTTAGTTATCTAGACGTTTAAAGCCTAAATCCAGACCTGCTGCTTCCATGTTCAGTAGTATCTCACTGCCCTGCATTTTACACCTGGTGGGAGGATCTGAGAGGATATGACCACATAATTCAACATTCTCCTCAGTTCTGTGGAGCAAAGCATGGTCCCAGCAAGTAAAAAGCTTGCCCATTGGTGAGGGAGGTAAATGTATGTTCAGCAAACCATCATACCAAATGGTAAACACTATACTGTGAGTAGAGCACTCTGGGTGTTCAGACCAGGAGTGGGTAGTTTTTAATTATTAATTAGCAGGACTAGTAAAGCCTGGGAAGTGTTCACTAACAAAATGTCTGCTTACTAACTAAGCTGGCTGGTTTCTCAATATAGTCTGACTCATTGTAACAATATAGACAGCTCTTTGTTCATAGACTTTAATCTACTGCCAATGTGTTTGTAGCTTATGTTCCCATTTAACAAAGATTCCTGGTCAAAACTGTGCCCACATTCTCCTAATGAACCAAGTGTCCAACAAAATAAGGATTCCTTGTCCTTATGAAGTCCACTGCGTATCCATAGAACGCCTCCATGAGTGCCCTTAATGAGGACAGAAGGCACTTATTGCCCAGACAAAGACATTTCACTGTGTGAGAGAGCTGCAGACGGAAGTCTCCTCTGCCTCCGGGACATGAAGCCAAGCTTTCTTCTCTCATCAGCCATGAGGATTGCTGTCCACCTCTTTTCCGTTCTCTTCTTTATGAGCCAAGTCCCACCAGGTAACAAGATAAAATTTGTGGAAGCTTTGGTAAAAGCATGGTGCCTGGACCTTCCAGGGATCCTGTGCTCAGAGCTGAGGCCCCATTGCCTGTGCCCTGAGGAGGGGTCTCATACCAAATCTGGAAGACACATTGGCTGAGAGCCTGGCAGCCGTGTCCCATCAGGTCTCCATAGCCATCAGATGAAATGAAGTTGGGATTGTTTCTAGTGCCTGAAACCCTATTTGCTCCATCTCTAAGAATAAATTAAATTAGGCAGGCTTACTAGCAGTTTCTATATTTAGATAAGAAAAGTAATGGTGCATTGCCCTACTAAATCTTGATCTACAAAACTCTACTTACTTTCAGCAAAAGATTTGCAGAGGCTGAATTACCCTAAGATGCTGGCATCAGAGCTACAGCACAGCTCTGGGCACCTTGGAAGAAGGCATTGACGAGGGGATCTCCTTAACAGGTTTATTTGCAGTCTAAGAAATCTCTAACTGGTTGTCCCTCCTTAATGTTTGTTCCCTGGGCTCAACTCTGCCCTGTGATGCTCCAGCTCAACCCCTGGCCTGTCCTCCTCCTTTTCAACACCTAGTCTCCTAAAGTAGAACTTGAACACAGGGGCCCTGCAGTAGAATGCACCTTCCTGCATTCAGCGTGCACCCATGACTCCCAGGTGTGACGCATCTGTGTGCATATGTCCTCACTTTCACCCAAGGAGGTGACTGGACACCCAAAAGAGATCAGGAAATTTCCTACAACCCCGGATGTGTAGATCAAGGAGGAATAAGAAACTACATCAAGCAGAATTTCTTTTTATCTTTTCCTGAGAATTCAGGGCCTCAAGTGTTGGGAAGGTGTAGCAAAGTAGTCAGAGATTGTGTAAATGTGGAAAATCCTTTTACATTTTAAGGAGTTGTTGATTGCTATGCTTCCTGCTGTTTGAAAAAGGGCACTTCCCAAAGTTTTCAACAGAAAATATACTGGGAGGCATGCCTATCCAGTATGCTAATCCAGACTTTCCAATCTCAATCTGGGTTTTAAAGACCTACTTACTGTGACCCAGTGGATAGTACTTCAGGTTTGGGGGTCTTGGGCAATGCAGCTTGTGAGGCACATTTTAACTGCTTTAGGAGAACTAATCTGGAGGAAGTAGAGGGGGGAGGTTGAGGTAGGGGGAGACTTGAGGTGGGAGAACAGTTCCGTTTCTCAGATACATGTTAATTAAGCATCACTCCATGCCTTTCTAGGAAGCCACATACAAAGAAAAAAACGTGCGATGGCCTTGACTTCCAAGTCAAAGGCTGGCCACCTTGGTTGTTGCATAGTTGGGGAGCAGGCAGCAAGCCCCACGACAGAGCACTCACGTGGGATGGAGGAGAGGTCTTGTAAGAGAGAACCATGAGAAATAAAACACGACCAGCAGAAAGGCAAAAGCCAAAAGCACCACATGCGTCGCGCCTGGAGAAAAGACCTGTCCTCCATGCTTGAGGCACTGAGCCTTAAAGGACCGGGATGTGGGGCCAGCATCGCAGGGTGAGCTATTACTCTCAGAGTGTGCGTGACCCACCTCCAAGGCAGTAATAGATTGGGTCATAAATCAAATTGGAATCAATGTTTTTAACAGGTGTATTTGTTCTGCCCTCAAGAAAAACTCCTAAGGCACACTGTGGTTTCTGGCAAGGGTCGCCACCTCAAAGGTCAGAGCCAGGAAGACTAGGTGAATGGGCAGCATGGAGGCAGTGGGAAGCCTGATGGGGACACCACCGGCACACTTGGTGTGCAGCCACAGTGTTCCCTCTCCCAGAAGGCAGCCTCCTCCCCATCTATGCAGGTCTACATTCCAGTCCTACACAGGAAAGACATGGGGAGAAGGGGGAGGGAGAAGAATATTGAGGTTTCTTTAACAAGGCTCCTTCACTCCAGGGAAATCAGCAGCACAGGACTGACTGAAAACAAAACAGGATCTGTTCCATCTGTATTGGGAGACACTGAGGAGTGAGAAAGGCTGGGATAAGCCAGGGTGTGGGTGGCCCTATGACTTTGAAAGGAGCAGGGTGACCTGGGTCTGGCCTGTTGTTCCTTTGATGCACCCAGCATTGCCCAGTTTTTACCTCCAATCCAAATTTTTCTGTGAAAGCAGAAGTTTTAAGTGTTGGCTTAAGGAATCAATTGATAACAAAAACCACAATCCACGCAAGGTTGTTTCCGGACACTCTCCCCCTCCATGTGATTCCATAAAAATTCAGGGAAATGAATAAACAGTAACAATATCCCTCTTCTCTGAGCAGCTGTGGGCAAATTCAAGGAGGTCTGTGAGCGTCCCAATGGCTCCTGCCAGAACTTCTGCATTGAAACAGAAATCCACGTCGGGCGATGTCTCAATGGCCAGTCATGCTGCCTGCCCATGGGGCACCATCCACAAATTGACCTCACAACACCCAGTGAGGTGGACTGAGGCCTTTTGGGAGTATTTTTGTTTGGATGTCCCTTTTTTCCTCTCTCGCTCTCAATCTCCCTCTCCTGCTATCTTTTCTTTCATGGTGATTCTGAGTCCATAATAAATAATAAAGCAAACCCAGCAAACACAAAGCCTACTTTACAAATCTGTGTGCTGTATTTTCAGTCCATTGCTGTCTGGTTGCCATCTGTCTGTCTGGTGTGAATGAGGCCCTGGTGGAGCTCCGGGCTGTGTGGGGACACTTTCATCATCCCCATTGTTTGTGCCTGGCCTTGGCATCCTCCACCTTCCACTGGGGAGACCGCTGACCCTTGCAGAAATGCCCTGCCTAGTTTCACGCAGCCTGTGGGGCTCCATCCCCAACAGGGCAGCCCATGAGACACAAGCACTCAGAGCTCCCCTCCCCAATCAGACATGACCAGGAGTCTGTGGCATGGGCAGGGTCATGCCTGGAGAAAAGACCTGTCTTCCCCAGCATTTTCAAAGGCAATGATCTGGGCCTGTCCATGTGCCCCTGGCTGGGACACATGGAATTCCTCTGGTCCCCCCTTTTCACTGGCCAAGGCCACGCACTTTTCCTCCTGCCTGGGAGAACACAGCATTAGCTTCCTAAGCTGCCCTGACCAATTCCTGAGGACTTAGTGGCTCAAGGCAGAAAGAATGTATTAGCTGAGAGTTAGAAAGGGCCAACGTCTGACCTGCATCTCAGTGAGCCAAAATCAAGGCTCAGTGGGCAGGCCTGTGTTCCCTTCTGGAGACTGCCCCCTCCCTCTACAGTCATGACATTAATGAGGGGCCACTGCCATTCACCACCAGAAGCCAAGCTTCGTCCCTCTTTAAAGTCAGCAATGGGTTACATCCCTCATCACATCCTAATGCTCATCCCCATCTCCCTCCTCTCTTTTAGAGTTCTGTGAGGACAGTGGGCATGTCTGGATAAGCCAGGATAATCTCCTTATTTTGAGGGGCCATGATTAGCCATGTTAATTCCACCTATGACCTCAATGGCCCTTTGCCATGTGGGGACATCTGCACAGTTCTGGGAATGAGAATATGGCCTTCTCTGGCAGAGGAGGAGTGTCACTATTTTTCCTGTGACAGCCACTGCATACTTTCCCACACATCACCTTTCTATTCAACTCAGAGATGGTTTTTAGTTACTTTGTGTAAAGAAACCCCTTGTTAGCATTTCTCGGGGAGACGAGAAGTTGTAGAGGTCTCCCTTGGTCACTGGAAGAGTACCAAATCAAGGCATTTTTTGTTTTGTGTCTAGAAGTTAGTCATCTTCCAGCTGAAAGTTTGTACCTTTTAGTCAACAGCTCCCCAGTTCCTACCACCCCCATGCCACCCACCCTGGTAACCATGTTCTCCTCTCTGTTACTATGAGTTCCACTGTTTTAGATTCCACATGAGAGATTCCACAGTATTTGCCTTTTTTGGTCTGACTCATGTCACTTAGTAGAATGTCCTCCAGGTTTATCTATGTTGTCACAAATGATAGGGTGTCTTCCCTTTTTATGGCTGAGTAATATTCCACTATATATATAGATATATAGGTAGATATATAGATAGATAGATAGATAGATAGATAGATCACATTTGCTTTATTCATTTATCCATCATGAACACACAGGTTATTTCAATGTCTTGACCATTACCAATAATGCTTCAGTGACTATGGATGTGGAGTTATATCTTTGGGGTACTGATTTTATTTCCTTTGTATTTACATCTAGAAGTGTAATTGCTGAATCACATGGTAATTTTTATATCATTTAAAAATTTTAATTGTTGTTCAAGTACAGTTTTCTGCCTTTTACCCTCATCCCAGGCCACCTCCCCAGCCCTCCCCACCTTGTTATTGTCTGCGTGTCCTTTATAGTTGTTCCTGCAAAACCTTCACCCTTCCCCCCTGAAATTCCCTCCCCTCTCCCCTCTGGTCACTGTCAGCCTGTCCTCAATTTCAGTGTCTTTGGTTAGATTTTGCTTGTTTGTTTGTTTTGTTGACTAGGTTCCTGTTAATGGTGAGATCATATGGTATTTGTCTTTCACCACCTGGCTTGTTTCACTCAGCATAATGCTCTTCAGTTCCATCCATGCTGTCGCAAAGGGTAGGAGCGCCTTCTTTCTTACTGCTGCATAGAATTCCATTGTGTAAATGTAGATATGGTCATTCTATTTTTAATTTTTTGAGGAGCCTCCATACTGTTTTCCATAGTGGCTGTACCAATTCACAGTCCCACCATCACTATACAGTGGTCCTTTTCCTTTTCAACCTTTTTTTTGGGGGGGGAGGGACTGTTTATTCTCTTTCCCCATCTTTTAAATATTTATGTTTTGTTATTGATGAGTTTCTTACATATCCTGCATATATTAGATGGGTAACCAAGCATTATTAGGTATAACTTTATGCACATAAATTCAAAAACTTCTATGAAAGTGGGAAAATCCTTTGAAAAAATAGAACTATCAAAGCTCACTTGAGAAGAAATAGGTAAGAAATAGATAAGAAAGAAAACACCAACTATAGGAAAAGAAAGACAAGCCTTTGTCAGGGGTGGTGGACAGGAGACATACACAAAAGAACGTGAAGAATTCTGGAAGTAAGAACTGCTCCAGGCATTAGTTGTAGTGTGGGTTAACAACTATATATACATTTTTCAAATTCATAGAAATTGCACTAAATTTTAATGATTAAAATTTACTGCATGTAATGTATAACTTGGTAAATGTGACTTAAACATCAGCTCTGTTCATATCAGTTCTGTCTGCTTTTGCTGCTCTTTTCCTCTGACTTCTGACAGCTTTGAGCTTCCTTTCAACAAACTTAAGTGTCAGGGTAGAATTCATTTGTAAGAAATTGCTAAACATATTATCCTAAAAGGTGTTCTGCTAAGTGAAGTAAGTCAGGAAGAAAAAAGACAAATACCTATGATTTTACTTATATGTGGAGTCTAAAAAAACAAATAAATGAAAAAACAGAACAGAAATAAACTGATAGAAATGGGAAACAAACTAGTGATTGCCAAATGAAAGAAGGTTTAAGGAGCTGTGTGAAAAAGGGGGAGGGATTAAGAAGTATACATTGGCAGTTACAGAAGAATCATGGGGAGGTAATGTACAGCACAGGGAATATATGTGGGGGTGACTTTCCTCGCAAGTCCCCCCCATGTGCCATGGATGAAAGTAAACATGGCATGACATGATGTGATCTGCTTGGGGAGGAGAGGTGACCAGTTTCCCAGAGGAAAAAGGCCTTGAGCAGTGGCCAGTTTTTCAGGGGAAAAAGGCATTGAGACCCTTTCTCCAGGGGCTTTTATTGAGTTGTAATACTCAGGAATACAGGGCAGCAAGGATCAAACAGTAGATAACATTTCAAAAAAATCTGAAGGCTTAGTCTGAGTCAATGTCTGTCAGGAAGAGAGTTTTTAGGTTTTCCTGCTTGAATCCTTAACATATGAATAAAAGTGCTCTTAGCAGAGCAGATTTCACAGGTTTATCAGGAAGTCTTTGTGATGCCAGATTTTTCCCCGGGACACACTCTAGCAAGGCAAGGAGCTGCATCCCTCCCCATCAGGTATTCAGGCTTAAGGGGATTAGAGCCAGGAAGCACTGCTCCCAGAGGACATGGGGACTCCGGCTATGTCACATTGCTCACTCTTTGTTGCAGCTCCCTGAGTCCTTCCATGATGGCCTCCTAAGTGGTCGAGTCTGGCTTAGGTTGCTCCCTGCTGTGAGGAAACCTACCTGTGAAGGACTTCTGACCATGTTTTGGGGGCAGGGAGGAAAGTGAGGCAGCATTTGCTACCTGAGACAAGCTTTGTTTCCTGTGGCTCGAATTCCAGAGGTCACTCGCTCATCCTTAGCCACAGGGGGTAGAGTTACAATTCCTGAAACCAGGCAGAGTGGTCCACAACAAATATAGTCAATAATATTGTGATAACTATGGATGGGGCCATGTGGGTACTAGACCAGAGGCATCACTTTATAAGTTATATAAATATCTAAACACTGTGCTAGACACTTGAAACTAATACAATATTGTATGTCAACTGTAACTGAAATTTTTTTAAAAAATAAGAAAAAAAAATTTTGCTATATTTTTCCACCCAGAACATGGCCTTCCAGAGAAGCCCTAGATTCCATCTCCATAACTTTCCTGTTCCCCTGAGACCTGGGGGAAGGGTATGGTCATGCAGAAAAACCTACATTGTTCCTTCTCTCATACCAAAGTGTAAAACAATGTGCCCTGGTGCTGAGAGACGGGATGGTACTCTGTCTGGCTCTGCTCTGGGTCTCAGGTTCATCAAAGCCAGCAGGAACCTGATGATGGTAGAGTTAAACACAAGCCCTAAGCATTGTCCACATAACTAGAAGAAAAAAGAGAGAAACTTTGCATGAGGCTTAGATGCTGTCAACCAGAGTTCTCAACTGGAGATGATTTTGTCCCCAGCATTTAATTGGCAGTGTCTAGAGACTCTTTTGAGTGTGTCCAGAATGGTGCTGGTGGATAGAGGCCAGGGATGGTACTAAACATCCTACAATGACCTGTAAGATGGAATTACCTGCCCAATGTCATCAGGGTTGAGGTTGGAAAACTTCACTCCAGGCTTTGGCATGTGAGAAGAAGCAGAAGGGGACAAGTGCCTGGTCTCTAGACCACCCCCTGCACAGGAAGCCCATCCCACTTCTGCATGGGAGGGAGGTACCCTCACCCCATGTCTGCTCTGCAAATTCTGTGCCTTTAACTCATGGACAGGCAGCATCTGAGAGTCACTTTTGGACAGCCCAGCATAATTGTTAATGTTTTTATCTCACATATTGTTTCTTTCTTGTTTTTGCTTCTCCACCTTTTTCAGGGCCTAACACACTTCTGGCTCAATTACTCTCAGGTCCAATTGCCCAAAAGCATCCAACCTAAGACTGTGTAAGGCACAGTCTCCCAGTTCCACATGGATTCATGGAATTTTCCCTAGATTACATCCCATCTGTCAAAG